GAGGAGGGAGGGGAGAAGGAGAAGGAGAGGGAGGAGCACGCGGTGGAGGACGTGGAAGAGGAGGGGGAGGGGGGGGAGGAGGAGGAGCAAGAGAAGAGGAGGAGAGGAAGACGAGCAGGAGGAGGAGGAGGAAAAGGAGATGATGAGGAGGAAGAGGGGGAGAACGAAGAGGAAAAGGAGAGGAGGAAGAGGTGGGGGAGAACGAAAGTAGAATGAGGAGGAGGAGGAGGAGAGGAGGAAGAGGAGCAGACGGAGCAAGAGGAGGAAGAAGGAGGAGGAGGAGGAGGGAGGAGGAGGAGAGGATCAGACGGAGGAAGAGGAGGATGAGGAGGAGGACGAGGAGGATGATGGAGGAGGAGCAGGAGGAGGAGGAGCAGGAGCAAGAGGAGGAGGAGGGAGGGAGGAGGAGGAGGAGGAAGAGGAGGAGCAGGTAGCAGGAGGAGCAGGAGGAGCAGGAGGTGCAGGAGGTGCAGGAGGAGGAGCAGGAGGACCAACAGCAGCAGGAGCAGGAGCCCCGCCCTCTCTCGCTGGCCGGCGGCAGCGTCGGCGCGGGGAGTGCCGCCCAGCCGGAGCCATGGCGGCGCCCTGGGCCCGGGACGTCGTCTGCGGCCACCGGGCGCTCGAGACCACGGGGGGGAAGACCTGGGAGGCGGCCTCCTGTCCCCGCAGCTCCTCCCGTGTCCGCCTCCTGGCTCCTCGTTCCTCCCTGCTCCTGCTGCTCTTCTCCTGCTTTCCCCCCCCCTCCTCCTGCTTCCCTCCCCATCCTCTTCTTCCCCACGATTCCTGCTCCCCCTGCTCCTCCTGCACGTGCCTCTCCCCCTCCTGCTCCTCCCCGACCTCCTCCACTACCTCTCCCTCCTCCTCCTCCTCCTCATCCTCCTCCTCCTCCTCCTCCTCCTCCTCCTCCTCTTCCTCTTCCTCTTCCTCCTCCTGCTTCTCTTCGTCGTCATTGTGTAATATTGCTGGTCTGTGGAAATGGTTCCGTGCGCTCTCCCCTCGACGCCGAGTGCATGTTCTCTGAGAGCGAGGCTCCCGCTCGAGCGCGGGCTCGAGTCCAAATGTGGGCTGCTAACGGCCCGACTATGACGAAAACAGCTCACACCGGGCACTTCCCAATTTACTCCGAGACGCCCTCAGCAGAGATGCCCCCAATCTCATGAGCGGCGCTCTCGCTCGTGACTTCCTCGCCATTCCGTAAAATCTGTGGAGGTCCATCGTATACGAAGACAACAGGTCGCGCTTCATATGTCCTCGTAATTTTCTCCGAGACGCCTTGGGTAGAGTGGCCTCCAAACTCAGGAACGGCGCTCTCGCCCCAGATTTCTTCGCCATTCATTCATGGTGGTGACAGCCCAACTACGACGACATCGGCTCCTGCTCGACATTTCCCTCGTACTCGTACTTTTCTCCAAGTCGCCCTGGCCATATGCATTCTCACGCTCAAGAACGGTGCTCTCGCCCAAGACTTCGCACAATTCATTCATGTTGGTGAAGGCCCAACTGCGACGACAACGGCTGCCGCTCGATACGTCCTTGTAGTTCACTTGCGTGCGCCCTGGCCATATGCATCCTCACACTCAGGAATGGTGCTCTCGCCCGAGGCTCCCTCGCACTTCATTCGTGTTGGTGCAAGCGCAGCTGTGACGACAACAGCTCCTGTTCGATACTTCCTCACAGCTTGCTCCGAGTTGCCCGGGAGGCTCCAGAGCTCGGGAACGGCGCTCTGCCCCCGGCCGTTCTCGAAGTTCACCCAAGCTGGTGAGTTGCCCGTGGGCGCATTAGGCCGCATGACTGCCACGGTGGCGTGGTGCACACGCACACACAGAGTGCACTGTCTGCTTCTCCCAAGAGCTGGTTTGACAAGAGGCTCCCAAGAATGGGTTGGTTCATAGACTTAGCAGGCGGGTGCAGCGGAGATGGAGAGGGAGAAACAAATGACGGTCATAACAGCTTGTCATATCACGGTTTCCTAATTTGGTCGTCGTTATCGCTGTCGTTGTGGTGGTGGTGGTCGTCGTCACCGTCGTCGTCACCGTCGTCGTCGTCGTCGTCGTCGTCGTCGTCGTCGTCGTCGTCGTCGTCGTCGTCGTCGTCGTCGACCGGGTCGTCGTATTAGTAGTCGTCGTCGGGATTGTTACCGTCATCGTCGGCGTCGTCGTTGTAAACCTGATAAGACACGGAAGAGAAGGGGAAAGGAGGGAGGAGGAGGAGGAGAATCAGGACCCTAGAGGCGGTTCTCCTCCTCCTCGTTCCTCCTCATTCCTCCTCCTACGCCACCTCCTCCTCCTCCTCCAACTCCTCATTCCTCCTTCTCCACCTCCTTCTCCTCCTCCCCCTCCCTCCTCCCTCCTCCTCCTCCTCCTCCTCCTCCTCCTCCTCCTCCCCCTCCTCCTCTTCCTCCTCCTCCTCCTCCTCCTCCTCTTGCTCCCCCTCCTTCTCGTGCTCCTCCTCCTTCTCGTGCTTCTCCTCCTCCTCCTCCTCCTCCTCCTCCTTCCTCCCCCTACCTGATTCCAGTGCTGGCTAAACCCTCAAAGCTTCCAGCTAAAGTCTTCTACGGATCCCAAGCCTCTGCCACGCCTTGGACCAAGACCGAGGCCACCTTGGAGCAATTGGTTGCTTTCCTGGATCAAGGTTCGGAGCCTGCTGCTTTGGCGAGTGACTTCACCTCTTACCTCTGTAAAGAGCATGGGTCGATTAAAACGTGGATCGCCATGAATCGTTTTCCAAACATCAGCATGGCATGCGCACACACACATACCTATACATGTGTATATATACATGTCTATACATCTGTGTGTAAATATGTGTATCTGTATCTCTACATGTAAAAATACGAGTGTATATGTATACAGGTGTATAGGTGTATATGTATATATCTATATATGTATGTGTATATATATATATATATATATGTGTGTGTATCACCTGACAGCTGCGCACGGCCGCATGGCACGGGCGCGCGGGGCGCAGTCGCCCGAAAGCGCTAGCGCGCGGGCGCGCAGGCGCTCCGGCGCTCGGGCGCACGGGCGCGCGGGCGCGTGGACGTGCGGGCCTGCAGGCGCAAGGCTGCGCGGACGCACGGGCGGGCGGGCGCGCGGGCGGGCGGGCGTGCGGGCGCACGGGCGCGCGGGCGCGCGGGCGGCGGGCGCGCCACGCGCGCACGCGCGCACAGGGCCTCTGAGGCGGCACGCGGGCCCGATGGGCGTGCGCAAGCCTTGGTTTGCGGCTCTGGGAAACCCGCTGTCCGTCGCTGGCGGTCGCTGGCGGCACTCGCGGCGCTCTCTGGACGCCTTCAAGCAAGCTTCCACGGACTGCGTGGGAGATGCCTAGGAGCTGCGCGCGAGGCGAGGGGGCACGACCTAGGAGCTTGCCCGGGATTGTTTCTAAACTGTCAACGAGCTGCGCGCGAGCCTTCGAGGCGCGGACCAGGAACAGCGCCAACGCTTGCGGGCAACGTTTTGAGAACGGTTAGGAAAGCGCTTGCCAGACACGCTGCAACCTCGAGCAAGGCGCTGCGAGGATGCCTGGCCGGCAGTCGTGGGAGCGCCTCTGGCCAGACCAGCCGGCCCGCTTCTTCTCAGCATGACCCCGTTTCTGAGCCCTCAGCTGGCTGTCTGGGAAAGCGGATACATCCCAGTCAGCGTTTTCGGTGGCAAGTGCTTCAAATCAGGTGGATTCCTCAGCGACTGCTGCCACGGCCCACTTCTCCGCACGCGCACCTGCGCCAGCGTGATGGCAAGGTCTACGCGTCCCCGCGCAGAGATGCCTCCGCCCTAGCTAGCGCTGGTCGCCAGAACGCACGCCACCTCCGGCCCAGCGTCCTTCTGCATGATGCCACCACGCTTGTCCGTACAGTGCGATTCCTGTCAACAATGGCCTTCCTTGCCCCAGCCCACTTCCCCGCTATCCAGTCCGTCCCATTCCCTTCCCCGAGGCGGGGATTTATTCTATAACCACCGCCTGGGGGATCGATCTTCGCGGACCTCCACAGGCGGTGGATACGGATACATTCGGGCCCCCTGGAGCCACAACATATGCATACCCACCGCCCGCTGGTGCACCAAGACGTCGGCTCCCGGGCGGTGGGTATGGAGAAATGCCCGCCTCGCGCCTTCCTCCTGACCATCAGTCTTGCTCCCATCGCTAACAGCGGGCGGCGGGAGCTATGCAGACCCAACCGTATGTGCATGTACGGTCGGACCGAGGTATAGGATCGAGGTCGGTTCGGGGAGGGTACCCTGATGTTCTTAGAGTTTTTGTCGGATGCTCGTGTGCATCCTGGGAGAGGGCGCCTTCGAATGTTCTTCGGTTTGGCCCGCAGAGGGTCGCATGTTCTTGAAGGATGTTCTTCTGGCCTAGGTCCGACTGTAGGTCACCCCCCATTTGGGCTCCTGGTGGCTTCAAAAGGGGCTCTGCAGGACCCCCTCCCCCTCCTCCTCATCCTCCTCCTGTTGCTGCTGCTCCTTCTTCTCCTGCTGCAACTGCTGCTGCTGCTGCTGCTGCTGCTGCTGCTGCTGCTGCTGCTGCTGCTGCTGCTGCTGCTCCTCCTCCTCCTCCTCCTCCTCCTCCTCCTCTCCTTCCTCCCTCCTCCTCCTCCTCCTCCTCCTCCTCCTCCTCCTCCTCCTCCTCCTCCCCCTCTCCTCCTCCTTCTCCAGCCTCCTCCTCCTCCTCCTCCCTGAAGGATGTCCCCCTGTCCCCGGTCCGGCCGTAGACCCCGCCGCCCTGCTCCACGCCTGCCCGCCAGCACCGCCCTGAGCCGCGCGCGCAGCGCCGGCCTTCCGCCGCCCGCCGGAGACCAGGCGGCGCACGTGCTCGCGGACTACCTGGAGGAGCCCCCCGCGCGGCTCCCCTCGTTCACGCGCAGGGAGGAGGAGGAGGAGGAGGAGGGAGGAGGAGGAGCAGGAGGAGGGGAGGGGAGGGGGAGGTAGGAGGAGGAGGAGGAGGAGGAGGAGGAGGAGGAGGAGGAGGAGGAGGAGGAGGAGAGGAGTTACAGGCGAGCT